ATTCCGTAATTAAGAAATCATGCAACAATAGAGACAGCAGTTTCAAGTTTGTCTTTGCTCTCTTTGTCCATCTCTTTCTGTAAGGTGACAGAAGCACGCATTCAGCACATGGAGCAAGCAGAGGGACTGCAGGTATAAATGGAGCAGCATTCAGAGTCTGAAATACACTGCATTACACATGTGGCTGTTCTTGGAAGTCAACCATTTCTGAAAGTTATTCTCAAGAGGCATGATGTACTATAAGCACTTAAGAAATGTGTTACACTGTGACTGGAACCAAGATGAAATAGCAATATTAAAAGAGATGGTTTAGTTTATGTAGTGGCCAACTATGCCATTAAACTAGAACAATGGAGACGATGGGGAGGCAGGAATGTTCTTCAGTGTGATTTATTCCTTTCCAGTAGGAGTGGAAATTTTTCCTATAGGCCTGAAAATGACCCTGTCTGCCAGCATTAAGATATAAGAATTCTGCTAGATTAGTCACCTTGGGATACTCTGCTCTCACACAGCACAGGGATCTAAATGCCCTCTTCCAGGATGAATCAAAACTCAGCCTTCTGAGCTCCACAAAAAACATTAGGCCTTAGCAGTCACTTCAGAAACAGGGAAACTGAGGCTTGAAGAATTTATTAAAAACAGGCAAAGAAGGCTATATGAAAGGATCAACAGAAAAACAAAGGCTTCCTCAATCCTATGCTTTACAGGAAATGTGCATCTTTCTTGAAAGGATCATTGTTTGCTGCAGCTGAGAGCAGCTGGGTCAGCCAAGGCAAAAGGAAATGCTATCAGGCAATGGTTATCAGCAAACAATATAATGCCATTTCCACTTCTGCCAGCCAATTAGACCTGTGCAGCCTGCTGACAGATGTGGGAAAGGCTATCTCCTCCAGAATAAACCAGGGTTTGGCACCTAAGCCCTGCTGTTTTTATACAGCTGCATCAGCTAACACGTGATGACTCTGTGCATCCACCTGTCTTTGTGCTCCCATGTTCTGACATTATGGGAACTGCCATGCTAGAGATTGCCCTGTGCTCCCCATGAATTTGAAGACAGCCCCAAAATGTCTCCTGAGCAGACCCAATTCACAATAGGATGGTGAGTTCTGAGTCCACCAAGGGGCCTAAGGAGAAGAACAATAGAGATGTTTTAAAATGTCACCCCTAGGAAGAGGCGTATCTGATTACAAAGGATGCCTTCTGCACCCAGATCTTTCAGTGACGCCCTAAATGACATTGTGAAGGCCCAGCAGGAAGAATAGAGTGAAGCCCCACGTCCACCCCACCAAATTCTCAGCCCCACTCTCCCCCCCTCTGCAGCCTGGCACACAAAGTGGGACCATGTGCAGCTGCACAGGCTATGCTCCTCAGAGTTATCTCCCTCAAAAACAGCCTCCTACCCACTTCCTTCCTCTGCAGAGTAATGAGCGCTCTTCAGCCTCGTGCTGCCTCTCCCAGCAGTCTGCTTCCAATCTCGGGGATGCCACATGAGACAGCCACCCCAGAGCAATGGCATATGTGGCCAGAGGTCCTCCCGCAGGAGCACAGCAGCCACGCAGGTGCTGAAATCTTCCCCCGCCCTGGTCCTGAACTGCAGAGTCAGCTCACAGGGACAGAGAGAACTAGGACGGTTCTATCAGTCAGGATGAAGCACCAGGGAGAAACACGAGGTACCAGCCAACTGATTTAGAGCAAACGACTCATTTCCCAATGCACACAGCCCACCTCTTCCTTTAATCCCTCCTCAGTGCCACGGAGGCTCAACACTGCTGGAAAAGCTAGACAAAGTTCTCTCTCCTGATGAAATTGTGCTATTGATTACTCGTTAAATTCTGACGTCCTCACTCCGAGAAAAATCCTCCTGACCTAAAAGGTGTTTTACCTGAAGGAGTACACCCAAAGCTCAGAGAGGAGCTCAGTTTTCGTTACCTAAAAATCAAGCTCTCCCTTCCCAACAAGTTTAAAAAAAAATATCAAAACACATCATAGGTTCATTTCCAGCTTTTACTTCAGGCATTTCCACTTCCACAATGCAAACTATGCCCAGGGTGGAATAAGGGTTTCTTTGTTTGTATTTTTGCCTTCTAAAACAGAAACCTACACAAAAGGAGACTATTTGTTCCTACACAAAATCTGTTTGTTTTGTACATATTGCTGGGTTGCATTCATTCATCTCCAACACTAATTGTCAAAAGCATAGATACCAAACTTGCTCACGTTCCTCTTGCAGTGGGAAGGAAAAATGGGAGATCAGCTGACTGTGTGCAACCATTTAGCAACCTGCCTATGCTGTCAGTGCCCTCTGTGAGTAATGGGTGTTTCACAATCCGAAATACGAGCAACCGGCCCAGCTGTATATTCCTCAGCCAGCAGCTATCAGACTGTCTTCCAGGCTCAGGAGAAAAGGAAGACAGGACTGTGACAATGCTTTCACCCCAAGGCATGCTCTGATGTTCAGTGGGCCAGGTGCATCTTTCACAGTATCACAGTAAACACCGTTTCTCAGAGCAGGACCTGGCACTGACTAACCTCTGCACATCACGCACTAGTAGCTGCTAATCACAAAACTGAAGCTCACGACGTGATAAAGAAGCTTGCTCTTAACCCATACATCTATTTTCCCCCTCAACTCCTGCCTTTTCAAAGAGACTGAAGAAATCTCCTGGGGCACTGCTTTGCTGCTGGGAGAAGCACTGCCCTGGAACCTCTGTGGCACAAATGGAGCAGAGGCAAGACTTGTTCAAGTGTTTTTACTCAAAATTAAAGCTGCTGTTTCCCATTTATGACACATCCCATAGGGATCAATCACTACCCTGTCAGCTCTCCTCCCCGAGTCTCAACTATAGCCTTTAGTTGTAAAGGGTACTTTAGAAACACACACTTTCTTTGTCTCAAAGTTGCCACAGTTTGCCTAAAATAAGTAAATCCCCAAGACCTGATTCACTGCAAGTGATTTAGAAGAATTAAATTGGGGTCTCTGTGTCAGTGGGTCTGCCAAGCTTGTGAACAGCGTGGTCTCTGCACAGCCAGCTTCAGCTGCTCCCACCACTGACACATCAGTTTTGCTGCCTGTTGTTTGCAAGGAGAGTCCAGACAGCAACAGGGGAACAAACCGTAAATACAGGATGCATTATGAAACATTATGCACTGGTTGCAAGATCTGAGAGGAAATAAGGGAAAATTATTTTCAGCTTCTCTTTTTAAGCATACGTGGAGAACCAATGGGGTTCAACCAGGAGCATGACTTTAAATTCTGCAATGGTTACAGTGGGATTAGGTAGGTACATGCTACTGTATAAGACAAACTGCTGCTCTTCCACACATAAAAGAAGGCAGGAGACAGAGTATCACTCACAGTACTGCCTGAAGCATGCTGGCTATGTCAACACACTATGTCGCTTTGGACTGTTTGGACTGTTAGTAATATGCAACTGATCCAACAACGATGCTATGAAATATTTTTAAACATTAAAATTATATTAACCTCTGCAGTTTAATTAGCATGTTAAAAATATAAAAGGAAAGCAGATGTGACCATCATGGATGTGTGTGCTGAATATTAATAACAAAAAGCATCCTCTCCCCTTTGGAGGATAAAGCAAAGTTGGTTCGGTCATTTTGCAAAATAAACCCTGAATGTGTTCATCCCGTAGCTGACAATAAATCTCTTCTTTGTGTGCACACAAAGCTGAAGCCAGAACTATTTTACTATGGTAAACCTTTGAAGATCCAGCCCTGGTCCAGCTGGCTGACAATGCTACAGCCCGAGTACTCCCCAGAAGCTCTGCCATCCACATTTCTACCCATACACACTTCTAAGGAAAAATTTAATGAATATCCCAAAACTGTCACTTCCTGGAGACCTAACACAGGCTACCCTTACACTAGCCAAGGCTCAGGTGAAGGCTGGCAAGATGAAATCCAGTGGCTCGTTATTCTTGCACTGATAGTGCCACGGGTCCATGCGCTGCAATAGCACCACATGTCATCCCAGCCACACTCCACTATTTCTACCCACCAGCAGATGTTTTTTTTCCTTTTAAAGAGACACCAGTTTCCAGAATTTCACCTGGTGTACCATCTCTGCCAGAAAATCACATCAAAAACAGAGCTACCTCACAGCATTTGGTTGCAAATAGAAATGCTGTCTTTCTTTTTCCCTCGGTACCCCAGCTGATAACTATTTATAGTTAACAACTGGGTTCATACTGTATTTTATACAGCTCTTCTCTGTAACCTACTCTTCCCCTTGGTCTTGTGTTCATGGTAGCAGTCATCATTTTAATGCATTTATAATATTTGATTTTCATCTTTATCCTTATTCTGTCTGCATATTACCCCTACAGTGCCTCAAAAAACACACTGGTTTACTGGAACCAGCCTAAGGCATCATTGTTTCAAGACAGCAAGAAGTGTGCGTTTCTACTCATCTTCCAAGAAAAAAATGGAAAAAAAAAAGGAAAATAAGTCACATTCCTAGTTACTGAACTTAGCCTTAAAGCTTTTGCTAGTGCTTCCACACACCTGCCCACCCTCCACCTCCGACTTAAGCTACGATTTTTATTGACATATACTAATTACCTGAAAATAAGAATGATCTATTCCATTTCCACCAGCTGCCAGTTGTCAGCACTGGCTAGAAGTGAGCAGACTTGTTTAAAGGAACAAAACAAAAAAAAAAAATCTAAGCTCAAAAATAAAATAAATAGCAGTCATTACAAAAACAAAACCCTAAAGAATGCCATCGGATCTCAGGTACTGTCGGGCGTGCTCAGAAAGACTAAGGCAGACAGATTTGAATGGACTGCTCAGTTTGTCACGGTAAAAAATACAGAGATTTAAAGGTCTACCCACGCGGAGGAGAAAAAAAAAAAAAAAGAACCACCAAAAAAACCCAACCCTGAATTAAAGAACAAAAATAAAATAAAGTCAGAAATGCAGCCTCAATGCATCGAATGTCTGCGCTTAAAAGATTTACAGGAGTAATTTAAATGATTCACCTGCTGCCAGTTTTCCTCCAAGGATGGCAAAGCTGAGAAGTAGCCGGTGTCGTGGACAAGCTGGAGTTCCTGGAATATACTATAACTAGCCAAGACATCCATGCTGCTGCTGAGCAAGACCCTTTCTTTCTGCTTTTGTGTGTGTTTGTTTGCTCGGGTGGGGGGTTGTTTTTGGTCATAAAAAAAAAAAGGAGGAGGAAAATCAACCAATGATAGATCCAGCGTCCCTTTGGCTTTGTTTTGTTTCAGTCACACTTTAAAAAAAGAGAGAGAGAGAAAGAGGATCAGCGCGGACGGATGGCGAGGTTCGGGGGCCGGGCCGAGGAGGACGAGCGGCGCCGGCGCGCACCGAGCACCCCGCGGCCGCCGCACCGGGGCACGTCCCCGCCGCGCTCCGCGCAGCCCCGCGCCGCGGCCATGCGCGCTCGCGACCGCCTGCCCCGCCGCCCCCTCCCCTCTTTATTTTCGGGACACCACATCCCACATCCCGCCCCCCCCTCACGCCGCTTCCCTCCCCGCTTCCCTCTCACCCTCCCTCAGCAAGCCCGGCCCGGCCCCCCCGCGCGCGCAGCCGCGCGGCCCCACTCAGGCAGCGCGTGGCCATGTAGGGTAAACGGCGGGGCGGGAGGGGCGGGCCCGCGGCGCGCCTGAAGACGCTGTGGACCAATGGTAGCGCCGCTCGGGGAGCGGGGGGCGTGGCCGGAGCTCCAGCACCGGCGGCGATTGGCCGGCAGCGCTGCTCCCGCCCCTTCCCCGAGGCTCGCGAGGCGGCGCGCGGCGAGCTATTTTTAGGGCGCTATATAAGAGGGCGGCGAGGCGCGCGGCGGTGGCAGAGCGTGGCGCGCTGAGGGGCTGCGTGGGGCGCTCGGAGCCGCGCTCGGGCTGTGGGCGCCGGGTGATCCGCAGCCCGGCCTGGGGCTGCCCCGCAGGCGGTGCCTGCCAGACCCCCATGTCTTTCCCACACTGTGTACACCCCTCTGCCTCTCCCCAGCCTCTAGCGCTCGAGTCCCCGGGGCGCTCAGGATGGCCAGACCAGTCGGAAATGCCCCGCGAAATTTGTGCGGTTTATGAGGGTGTTGAGAGGAGTAGAGTGGGAATACACCCCGAGCAGGAGCCGCCGGCATCAGGAGGACGTGCACTGTGCATGTGTGGTCAGACCACGGGAGCCCGGCTTCTGAGTGCTGATCTAGCCAGGCTGTCCGCAGAAATGCACATGTGCTTACTAAGGCATCTATCACGGCATTTAATCAGGCTGAGATGTGAGCTGAGCCCTCTCTGAGTGCTAGTTTGGGTTGGCTAATGAGCTGTTTGACCTTAAATGGTTAGAGTGGTGCAGAGCTTCCCCAAAATCACTCTGGCATCGGGCACAGTTTCATTTCTGCTTTTGGAAGGATTGCAGAACTGAGTCTGCTCATTTGAAGATGATGGGGGTGGGGAGGGGCTTCCAGTAATAGAAGAAATATGTTCTATTTGTTGCTCTCAAATTCAGAGGACCCTGCGGTCCAATCAGTTGCGTTGCCAGGGCTGTATCTGGCCACGAGGCTGTGGGATGAACATCCCTCTGGAGCCCCTTGATGGTGGGTTGTCAGCACTGTAAGTTGGACTGGGTACCAGGGCAAGCAGATGCTGCCAGGGATTGCTAAACTATCTCCTTGTAGAGCAGTTGCATCACACTTTGCTTGCCATGACTAAGATCTCTTTTCTCATTGTTCTCTTCCCTTTGCACCTGGATGAGCCTGCCAGGGCCAGGCCTCAGGTGGTATTAACTGCAATGCCACTAGCACATCTCTTCCCAGATGTCCCAGTCAGACTGATGTGAAAGTATGAGGCCACAGAATTCATCAGTGCTGATTAGTTCATGGTATGTTTTCTTTCTTGGCAATGAAGGCAAATTGTCTTTTCCAAAACGGGGTCCGTGTTAACAATTTTGAAAACCGTATATGAAGAAGGTTTGTCAGAATAAACCTCTATAGACAGTCCAGATAATGGCTGCACCAGCCCCAAATTATTGTAGGTGCTGTAAAGAAGAATGAGGTAGAGTAAGCACCTCTCTAGTCTGAGGAGTTAAAATGTGGAGGGAAGAGGGGAAATGAAGCTGCTGGTGAAGAACTGCAGTAATCAGGAAAGAACTGGACGTAGGCAATTTTCTCAAATAAACTATCTCACCACTACAAAAACACTTTGGTTACATTGAAGAGCATGATGACTTGGGAGCTGCTGCTCAGGTGCTGACCTGAAGCTGCAGGTCTGGACAGTCCAGAGGCAGCTCCCTTGAAGTTGAATGTCTCCTGTGAGCTGCTTGTGAAAACGATGCCATCCTCAGCCTTCACCTGGGGAGCCATAGGTTGTCTTAAACAGAACCATTTCTGACATCTTTAGCTTAGCAGAGAAGCTGTATGTGAGGCTGGACATGAATAATAAACTACTCTTTCTCATAAATATACCCATAAATGTGTAAATGTATGTGTTAGTGGGAAGATGAGAGGGAAGGTTAGTGCAGCAAGCACTGCTGGAGATGTCTTGCAGGCCATCGTTACCCATTCCGAGCATGCCTCAGTCTGGCAAAGCAGCACCTTTCCTGGGCACCTTGGGAAGGGAAAACTTTTAAAGAGTGTAGAGGAGAGAACTTGACAAACGTGGTTGGCTATGGAAGGAAGCAGCACTTGGGTATCATAATACACTCCTGTACTGAGAGGGTTGCACAAGAATTACCTGTTTCAGAAAAAAACTGTCTATAAGCATTTATCCTTAACAGCTTGTCAGAACAAGGCCAAATGCATATGCAGAGGCTTTTCTAACCTAGGCAGAGAAATAAAGGGCAAAAGCAGTGAAGGTTTATGCTCTCAGCTACTTAAATATCTAAATGTCTTAATCTTTTTGTCTTTGAATTCTGTAATTCCCATAGCTGAAAAACATTTTGGTGCTTTATTCCTGACCTTGTTTAGCATAACTACCATTTTAATATATAGAAATGTTAGTGGTCTCATGTCCAAGCTCCCCTCTAGCCTGGCCTGTGCAAGTTATGGGTTGCTTATTCTTTGGTTTACTGCAAAGCTTGATGTACAGGCAGCCCAGCAGTCCTCTCTGCTTGATAGTCACCTCTGCTTGCCATTGAGTGGCTCTCATTTGAATCAATTAAAATCTTTCTAGTTGTCTATCTCATACTGAACTTTCTGCTGAAAGCATGTCCTGTAGGAACTGTCAGCTTTCCACCCTCATAGTGGAAGTTGCTCTCAGTTGTGGAGCTCAGCTGCTCTACACCAGCAAAGAGCCCAGACTGTGCCGAGGCTCCACTGTAACTGGTGGCCAGATCTGATGAGCAGATGCTGCTCTGCTTCTCTGGCTGGCTTCAGGAGGAATAGTGTCTGAGGGCAGGATTTTGGCTGTGAGCCTTGAGGTGAAGAGCTGGGCTACAGATCTGGCTGCTTGCCTGGGTGGTTTCCAGGCAGACATTGCATTTTTATTGTCTCAGATACTCTGCTTTGGAGGTCAGTCGAGAAAGCAGAATGGGGTTGTCACTTGGCAGAAGTAGAAAAGCCTAGACAAAAAAAGAATGTGGTGGTATGCTGGGTATAAAACTGTTAGTCCAGCACCGGAGGTGGCATCTACCTGTGCTAACCCAGAGGTAACAGAGGGCCATTTCTGCCAAGCTCTTGTTTCCCAGGCTGTACTGACCTTTCTCCTGGCAGATGGCCACTTTCCCTGCTCTGGCCCAACCACACCACCCATCACGGAGAGCAACGCAATCAGATGTGGAGGAGGAGCAATATCTCCCCACTGCTGCACAGCTGGGCTCAAGGGCATAGAGGACTACACAAAAATTCAGGCAAAGGGAGCAGGCTGGACCTGCAGGGAGTGAGGATGGGCATTTCAGCCAGAGCACAGATTTGTCTCATAACAGGTAAAGAAAATAGCTTGCACGAGGAGACTTCATCATTTCTGTGACTTGCTGAAATGTCAGGAAGATGCAGGGAAGTGGTATGGCTGGTTGTGCTATAGTGCCAGTGCTCTTTGGCACCTGGAAAGGGGAAATGGTTATATTTTTTACATTAAGGGGCAATGAAAACAGTTAATCCTAGTGAAAAAAAAGAAAGGAGCATTTCTCTGCTCCTTCTGCTCCTCAAGAGAAGGAGGAAAGGTGTCTTCACTGTTTTCTCTTAAAAGCTTGAATTTATCACAGTCTGCCATAGCTCCTCTGGCAACAACCTTTTCTACCCTCTCCAAGTAGGGAGTGCAGAATCACTCCCAGCACTTTGCTGGGTCCCAGGAAGGCAGTGGTGTGCACAGAAGCAAAGTTTTGGTTGCTCTGATTGCTTTCCTTTGTGATGTTTGTGTCCCCACTGCCCTAGAAGCAATGGCAAGGGATGTTTAGTGGGGACCCACCAGAGAAGGCTGATTTGCAGGGGACTTTTGGATGTTGATTTTGTGTTTCTTTGTTTTGGCTTGGGCAGAGACGATGCCATAAAGCAATCAGGGAGTATATCAATTCATTCTATAGGCATTTCACTGAAAACACCTCCTTTGGTACCAATGATGTTTCAACAGCTACACTGAATTACCTTGTACATGGCTCATGATACAGTTGTAAACTCTATGGCCTTCTGCATAGTCAACAGAAGTGCTAAAGCACTTTCTCCTACAGGGACAGATTGGTCCAGGTGTCCAGGCTACCAGTTTCTTCTACCATCACATTTGCATCTAGGCTGCCAGCTGCATGTCTTCCTCTCCTCCATCTCAGACTGAGCTAATACAGCTTTGCTGTCCTTAGAGCCTGTGACAGGGTCGTTCAGAGGTGTTGATTCTTCAGGCTGTGTCCCTCCTGGAGGGGAAGAGGTTGTGACTGCAGGTTGGTAGGGTTGAGGTTGCGATTGGTTGTAAAGCCTTGCAAAGATCAAAGACGTGAGAAAGTACTGATAAATGCACTGGAGCATGCTTGGATTTGCAGTTCGGCCTCTCCAGAAGTGGATGCAGAAAGCTGCTACTGGGGAAGTGGAGGGTTTGTGGTGGTGGTTTATGGCCAGGGCAGAGGCACAGCAGAAGAGCTCAAAGGTGACCCTGCTGTTCAGCGTTGCCACTTCCCAATACTCCAATGTGTCTGTGCATCTGTGTCCATGTCCACATCTGATGAGAAACAAAATCCTGGCAAGCATGAAGCAGCAAAATGGGAGACAATTTCCTTTCCTGCAGTGAAGCACTTCTCTGGAGGCCCCAGAAATCTCCCATTCCTCCTGCAGCTGGATACCTCACTCCTTCCCAACCTCTCATCTCCCTCAGACCTCATGTTCCTGGAGAAAGGTCAGTACTCTTGGCCCCATGCCTGCAC